CTTTCCCTTTGCTGGCAGTGAGGGTGCTAATGTTACATTCTGCAGGTGCCTCTATCAGCCTCAGTCTAGTTCTCTGCCACACGGCCGTGATAATGTTGTGGTTCATAATGGAAGTAATTACCTTCTCTTGCTCTGGCACCAAGTTTTTTTCCGTTTGCCAGATATTGGGGTCAGGGTGGGGAGCTGCACATGTACTCTCCTGCAAATGCTCAGAAATGAAGGTAGCTCCTTTTGCTTCTGTATGTATGTGGATGTAAATCCACGCTGTTTGCACTGCCATCATTAAATGTCAGCAGCATGGTTTTGGGGAATAACGTGCATTGCCTTCCAGGAAGCATATGATAATAATTTTTTTATGCTCCTGTAAAATGTGGCTATGTTTATTTACAAAGGGTATAATTTGTGCTGTGATTGGAGTACAGGCTTAGAATACGGAAGAATTTTCCCATCAGATCAGATGAAATTTCAGTCTTAAATTTCTTCGCAGATGTTTTCAGAAATAAAACCAAGCAGTGACAATTATGAAACTAATGCTAGATTCACAAATTGCCCTTTAACTTTATTTGACTGTCCTTACGTGGCTGCTTTCTGTATGCTGGCTGACTTATTGGGTGCAAATTAAACTACTTCAAAGAAAGTGCTAGTAACTAGTTTAGGCAAGAAAAAGAAAAGTAATGTAGTACTTTTACTTACGATGGTAGAGTAGTTTTTAGTGATAGAGTATGTTTTTCTGCAGCAAAGACAAAACTAATTGCTTAATGTCTTTAAAATGCTAGGAAAGAGTAAAGTCTTAATAAATGTGCTCAGATCATGACTGATTTGTTAGCATAAGATTGAGTGGTTTTGGCACTTTCTGTAATGGTACTCGTGCATGTATCATGGACTTGCTGTCAGATTTTCGCCGACATAAAACCCTCAGTCTCCCCACTTGTGTGTCACTTCCCTTTCCTCCCTCGGCAAATTTCTGAGAAGACCCTTGGAAACTTCATGGACATTTTGAAAATTAAACCCGTCCCCCTAAAAGCTGTTCGGCCCCTGGCCGCAGCGCCAGGCAGCCTGTCGCCCGCATAGTGCTCGCCCGCACCCGCATAGCGCTCGCCCGCAAGCGGCCAGGCTGCGAGCTCCGTGGCTCCCTGGGCAGCCAGGTGCATCGCTAGTGCTGCTCGCCCCCACGACACGCGCACGCTTCCTTCCTTCCACCCACTTCCCCCTCCCCTGCCTTGGTTTCACACCTCTGTTCCAAAGTTCACGTTGTCCTCTCTCTCTTCCCCCCCTCCCTTTCTTTTTAACAGCAGGAAAGAATTTCGTACACACCTCCAGTGAGCCCAGTACCGAATTACACTTCCTCATCACCACTACATGTCCCAGTGCCTCGAGCGATCAGGATGGAGGAAGACACGATCAGACTGCCAGCACACCTGCGTGAGTGTCAACATGGAGGCTTCTTATGTTCTTGGATTGAGCAGGGGGTGGGGTGGGGTCAGGAGGTGTTTCTGTTTTTATGGAAGAGAGTGGGGAAGCCCCTGGCTTTAGGCTTTTTTTTTTTTTTAAAAAAAAAAAAGCTGTAGCTGGTTTGGTTTTTCTATGTGTTCTTTTTAACCAAAGGAAATTACTCTTAAATACAGTACATTATCCCACCCACCCCCATCCCCTGCACTCCCTGCCAAGGATTTGGCTTATTTCTCATGACAGGGACAAATGTGGAAGTTTTATTTTGACAGGAAGTGCTATGTTTCCTTCCATGGTATAGGAATTGCTCAGCGATGTGCTGCGACACAAGGTCAGAGTTTCACAAACTGTAGCAAGTGGAGTGCATTTGTGCTGTGGGTATTTTTCAGGTTGTTACAGGTCTCAATATTAAATGCCTCTGGTGTCCAGGCTCTCTACTACAGAGCGTGTGTGCTGACAGAGACAATGGGAAATGAGGAAGAACGAGCTTAGCTGTGCACAAAAGGATGCTGCCAAGGAGGAAGGGCATATCACTGACGTTAGAACAAAAAGGAGCTGGGGGCAAGGCGAGAGCCAGGCGCTTCCTTGCTGAGATGATTTAATGTTTGAGGAATAGGAAAGGCCAAGGGCTGTTGGCCAATGAGAAGTGAATTAGTGAGACAGGATGGGGACAAGGAAGAGTGGAATTTTCCTTTTTGGAGGGGAAACAGTTCTGATGTAAAATGAGCGGTTTTAAGTAAACTTTTGTCAGGTGTTACATTCCTGGGGTACTTGAGCGACAATGAGCAACAGGGCCAGGAACAAATGTAACTTGGTGTGTTGCCATCTGACAAATGGGTTTGGGATTTCAGAGGGGGGGGCAGAAAAGTCCATGTTTATCAAGACGTTCTCATTCCTGTCCTCAGCTGTCTTCCAGGCACACTCCTTTTCTGGATGCAAACTGTGCTCCCAGCGCTTCTGTAATCCCGTGCTTGCTCCCTTGCTGGCCACCGAGTTGCTCTGCCCCAAGGTCACTCGTTGCCCGTGCTGTGTTCTGCACAGTCCTGGTTTTGCCTGCTGCCGCCTCTTGCGCTCTCCTGCCTGTGGTGTAGTGTAGCCCAAGTTGTACCTTTGCTTTCTGACAGGGATGGTGGCTGGCGCTACAGCATTTCTGACCGTGTCTGGTAGCTGCCTTGAGTATCCACGAGCTCCCAGACCCTGCTTGCCCATGTGCGTGGCTGCTGGCCTGTTTCCCCAGCCTGGGGAGAACTTGCTGCCACACTAACAGGGCATTTCTGTGCTTTGCCCAAAACTTAGACACAAAAAAACCCCACACAGAAGCAATTCTTCTCCAGCAGTTCTTTTTCCCACTGTGGCTTTTAATCCCTGAGATTTTTTTTTTTTTCCCCTCCTCACTGCATTAGTTGGTACTATTAACTTCTGCTTTGGGAGTCACTGTCTGCCCTCTCCACTGCTAAGATCACGGCTGGCCTTCCCATTACTTACTGCCTTCCCCACTGGATCTGACAGATGCATAAGGCAGGAAGGCAGAGACTGTTGATACTGAAAGAGGTGTGTTTACTACCTGCTTCCTTCCCATCAGCTAGCCAGCATGCTAGCTAGTGCGAAGCTTATGAGGCTTCCTCTCAGTGAAGACTTTTTATCCAATATTTTTAGGTGTGATCCAACCTTTAACCTTGATTTTTGTTTTGGTTCTTCTTTTCTTTTGATTGGCACATTTTTAAACTTGCAAGGAGGCTTCTTTTCCATTAGTATTTCCACACCAGCCTGACTTGTAGTGTAAAATCACAGACTATTAATCACTAAATATCTGTGGGATAGTCTTCCACAAAGTCAGTGTCTCAGGTCATAAATGACATAGAGCATGTTTACATAGCCTTGCTAGTTGTAGTCCATGGCAGTGTAGAATTTCATAGCTCAGTATGCAGTCAATATTGACCCAAAAACTATCACCAAGTGACCCAAAGACTGTCACCAACCAACTGACCCAAATGCTGTTAGAACCACCATTTAAAGTATATAGATTCATAGCTAGGCCAGAAGGGACCGGTATGAATTCCTAGAACGACCTCTGATAACTTGAGTTACAGTACTTCACTCAGTAACTCCTGTGTTTAGGTCCAGTAACTGAACTACAGCATGTTATGCAGAAAGAGTTGTGCTTTTCGTGTGAAATCTTCAGCAATGGGGAGGATATAAGGTCTCTAGATGTTCTTTCAATGCTTAATTATCCTTCTTATTTGCCTTTTTTTTAAGTGCCCTATTTATAGTTTGAATTAGTCAAGCTTCGGTTTCCAACTATTAGATCTCATTATCTCCTTTCCTGCTAAATATTGTCAAAAGACTACTCCTGATATAGGTGCTTTTAGATAGTCACTTCTTAACCTTTTCTTGGCTAAACTGGATAGGAAGAGAGGTTCTTAAGGCTGTCAATCTTCCTGTCAGGCTTCCAGATTTCACATCATGCATGTATCATCTCTGTGAACTGTTTCCTGCTTCAGACATCTTTCTTAAAGTGAGGACAACAGAATTGAAGATCATATTCCAGGAGCAGTCTTCCTAATACCAAGTATAGAAATAACTAAGCACCTTTTGGATCTTGGGTCGTGAGGTTTAACATGGGACTTTGCAATTCCTGCATGGACCCCTCTAATTTTTTAAATTTTTTTATTTTTAGAGATGTGCCTGAGAGATGGCTTTGGTCCTAAATCCAAACTGCCTTAAAAGTCAGGCAAAGCAGCTAATTTCTAGTTCAGGCTGTGGTACTGTGTGTGAAGATGGGGTTTAGACCTGCAAAGTCTGAGGGTTTTCTAGGTCTGAGATATTGTTTGGTTCCAGCCTTGTTGTCGTTTGTGTTGATTAGGTGAATCCTAATAACTTCGCAAACCTCACTCACTCCAGCACAACAGGGAGATATTGTAAGTTTCTCCAGTCATACACAGAGCTGACAGCTTGTCAGGCCTGTACTCATTCTCTGTTTCCATGACAAGGGAGGAGCAACTGACATCATCTGCCTGGATCATGCAAAGCATTTGACACTGTCCCGCATGACATCCTTGTCTCTAAATTGGAGAGACATGGATTCGATGGATGGACCACTTGGTGTATAAGGAATTGGCTGGATGGTCACACTCAGAGAGTTGTGGTCAACGGCTCAATGTCCAAGTGGAGAGCGGTGACGAGTGGCGTTCCTCAGGGGTCAGTACTAGGACCGGCACTGTTTAACATCTTCGTCGGCGACATGGACAGTGGGATTGAGTGCACCCTCAGCAAGTTTGCCAACGACACCAAGCTGTGTGGTGTGGTCGACACGCTGGAGGGAAGGGATGCCATCCAGAGGGACCTTGACAGGCTGGAGAAGTGGGCCCGTGCGAACCGCATGAAGTTCAACAAGGCCAAGTGCAAGGTCCTGCACGTGGGTCAG